ATATATATATATATATATATATATATATATATATATGTGCGTGTGTGTGTGTGTGGGGGGGTGGGTATGTATAGAGATATACATATATAGCATGATGCATAATGCCTTACAGACATGACATTCATTTAATATATGGAATAATTCAGCCTGCTGACCGGGCCACGTTACAGTGCCTTGGGCAGCTGCGAATCCGTGCTGCGGTGCAGACCGCACCGTGTGCAGTATCAGCCTGCCGCCCGGTCGGCTGTTCACCGAGCTGACCTGACCCTGGGTCACTGGCCAGCGTGCCGGCGGCTGCCGTCGCGTGTGTCGGTGCGCGGCATTGATCGGTGGTGCGGCCGCGGCCACAGCTGTGCTGGTGCCTCCTCCCCCCTCTCTCTCTCTCTCTTGCACGCTCGTCGCGCGCCGAAGACGGCCAGTGGCCGATCGGTGCCATGTGGCGCCGACCCGGGCCGGCCCGGCGCAGGCGGCCGACCGGGGCCCGGGGCCCGTTTGGTCACAGCTGAGACGGACGCCACGGCTGCGCCTGATGGCGACGAGCGCCGGCCGGAGCCGCCCCAGCACCTCTAGCGCCGGCTGGAGCCGTCTGAGCACTGCTAGCGCCGGCCGGAGCCGCCCCAGCACCGCTAGCGCGGCCGGAGCTGCCCGGACACCGCTAGCGCCGGCTGGAGCCGTCCGAGCGCCTCTAGCGCCGGCGGGCCGCCCGGACGCCACTAGCGCCGGGCGGAGCCGCCCGGGCACCGCTAGCGCGGCCGGAGCTGCCCGGACACCGCTAACGCCGGCCGGAGCCGCCCCAGCACCGCTAGCGCGGCCGGAGCTGCCCGGGCACCGCTAACGCCGGCCGGAGCCGCCCCAGCGCCGCTAGCGCCGGCCGGGCCGCCCGGACGCCACTAGCGCTGGGCGGAGCCGTCCGAGCACCGCTAGCGCCGACCGGAGCCCCCAGCATCGCTAGCGCCGGCTGGAGCCGCCCGAACGCCGCTAGCGCCGACGCCGGGCCGCCCGGTCGCCACTAGCGCCGGCCGGAGCCGCTCGAGCGCCGCTCAGACACCTGCCCGTAGCCGTCAGCCAGAAATGACAACTCTTCCGCGAAATGGAACCTATGGTTGATGATGACAACTCCAGAGATTTTGAGAAAGTACGCGATGCGCCGTGTTTTACGTGAACTGGAGTACGCCCATCACACAAACACCAAAATGCTTGTGTACATGTGCATGTGCATGCATGCACGTGTGCATGTGCACCAGCATGTGTACCGGCCTGACCGAAAGGCGTGGGCTGTACCCGTGCCACCCTGGCTTTCAACGCATTCAGCACGGGGCGTCATTCAGTGGCGCTGTCTGAGTCCGACCACCGCCCGCCCCTGCGGCGCGGCTGGCGCTGAGTCAGCAGCGGCCGCCGGCGCCGCGGCACCGAACACTGCCATAACGATGAAAGCGACCGCTGGAAAACTGTGCGACCGTTACTGCTTGTCAACGCCGAACTAAAGCCAGACTGCAGCGCTCAGCTTTGGAGCGCCGTGTGTCGATGCACTGCACGGCCCTTGGCCCAGCGAACTAAAGCCAGACTGCAGCGCTCAGCTTTGGAGCGCCGTATGTCGATGCACTGCACGGCCCTTGGCCCAGCGAACTAAAGCCAGACTGCAGCGCTCAGCTTTGGAGCGCCGTATGTCGATGCACTGCACGGCCCTTGGCCCAGCGAACTAAAGCCAGACTGCAGCGCTCAGCTTTGGGGCGCCGTATGTCGATGCACTGCACGGCCCTTGGCCCAGCGAACTAAAGCCAGACTGCAGCGCTCAGCTTTGGAGCGCCGTATGTCGATGCACTGCACGGCCCTTGGCCCAGCGAACTAAAGCCAGACTGCAGCGCTCAGCTTTGGAGCGCCGTATGTCGATGCACTGCACGGCCCTTGGCCCAGCGAACTAAAGCCAGACTGCAGCGCTCAGCTTTGGAGCGCCGTATGTCGATGCATTGCACGGCCCTAGGCCCAGCGAACTAAAGCCAGACTGCAGCGCTCAGCTTTGGAGCGCCGTATGTCGATGCACTGCACCGCCCTTGGCCCAGCGAACTAAAGCCAGACTGCAGCGCTCAGCTTTGGAGCGCCGTATGTCGATGCACTGTACGGCCCTTGGCCCAGCGAACTAAAGCCAGACTGCAGCGCTCAGCTTTGGAGCGCCGTATGTCGATGCACTGCACGGCCCTTGGCCCAGCGAACTAAAGCCAGACTGCAGCGCTCAGCTTTGGAGCGCCGTATGTCGATGCACTGCACCGCCCTTGGCCCAGCGAACTAAAGCCAGACTGCAGCGCTCAGCTTTGGAGCGCCGTATGTCGATGCACTGCACCGCCCTTGGCCCAGCGAACTAAAGCCAGACTGCAGCGCTCAGCTTTGGAGCGCCGTATGTCGATGCACTGCACGGCCCTTGGCCCAGCGAACGATTTGCCTGGGCGTGACTCGATGGCCGTCTGTTGTACGCGATATGTGACTGGCTTTCCATGGGTCTCTTTTTTCATTGAGCGGATTTGAGGGCCACCCACCGGCCGGGGACGGTTGGCCGATGGGTTCCGAGGCGACTCCCACGCGCTGCCGCCCATTACGACAGAACGACGCCGGCGACTCCGCCTACGCCATGTCTCGGAACCACATTTCATGCGTCGTGCGTCAGGCCGCCCTTCAGCCCATCCGCCACGTGAAATGGGGCGCCCTTAAATGTGAGCACTATCCTCGACGGGATCTGAAAAACGATGCGTCCGGGGGAGTGGTATCGAATTCGGGCACACAATCCTGCGGCGCGCCTTCGGAGCCGTATTTTTCGCGCGCCGTCACCTTTGTGGGGCGCGCGCTGGTCACGATGTGAAGTTTCCACACTGACGAACTCTGCTGAGCCATCAGCCCACCCAAATGGCCCATGTATCACAGGCGGTATCAGAGCGAGGTGTCAGCGAAGGTCACGGAACATTGGAAAGGTGCCGAGCGCCGCAGGTCTTTGTTGCTCGGCCCCTGCCCTCTCCCCCTGTCCCATCCATCCTGTCGTGTCCTCTCCTCTTCATCTCTCGTGTCTCGGTCCAATGATCCCTTTTCGTATCTTTTGCGTCCGTTCGCTCGGTCCATTCTTTTTCGCGCATTCTTGTTTTCTTCCAGGCAGTCATTTGCCTGTGTCTTGTGGTGTTTTGTACCTCAGTATTCATCCACACGGCTCCTCATGTTTTCCGTCCTGCTCTCTCGGTCTTGATCTGTTCGTCGTTCGTCTGATCATTTGATCTCTTCCATTGTCCTGTATTCCGTCATATCGTGCTTCTCATTTTCCGCTTGGGCGTCCTTGTTCTTGTTTTTCGCTTTTCTGTTGCCTCTCGTGGTGTTTTCCATTTTTGTTTGCCATCCCCCCTCCCATTAAAGGCTCTTCTGCTGAAAGCGATTATGCAACATTCCATCGTTTCGTCTCTCGGCCCGATTGTGTTCCCCCACCATCTTTTCGCCGTCTTTGGTTTTGTTTGTTAGCTCTTTCTTTCCCTCAGAAGCCACGAAGCACCCACGGAAGTGGATGGGCTAAACCTCCTTTCCAAGTCATTTATTTTCATTCATCATTGCAGGACCAGTGTTAAGTTTCTTGAACAAATGCTGGATGTAACATTCTCCCGCCCGACGTTTCCTACCCATATGCCGTTCCCGTCTTCCCACTGCATCCCATCCCTTCGCAACTATCCGCTTCTTCCCCTTTGCAGTTCCCCGGTCATTTGTTCCTACCAGTCTAATTCGCGAGTCTACCGCTCCTTCTCGCGTCACTTCACTCCCACGCTCGGCCCGTCCCGTGGGATTTGATTAGTGGGTTACGTCCAGTGCCATTTCTCTGGCCGCCCCGGCTGTCGTTCTCTCCGGTCCCGCCGTGTCCCCCTCCCCTCCCCCTGGACTCCCCGTCCCAGCGTCACGTCGTGGCCGCGGCTGCCCATCGCGCCAGCTGGCGGCTGCCCATCGCACCAGCTGCACAGCTGCCCATTGCACCAGCTGGCGACCACACCGCACCAGTTCCGTTCCGTCTGGCCGCTCCCGCACGCGCTGCGCCATTGTCCGCCCACTCTGTCGGCCTCTCGGCGCGTATTTGTTTGCCGCCGTTCCCTTTGTTCGCCGCCACTCGGTCTGTTTGGACTTTGTTTTTGGTGGCTGCGGCGGGCGCGGCGGCCGACCGGCGCCGATAGCGCTGACGGGCTCTGCCCGGCGACAGGCTGCCCAGACCCGGCGCGTCGGCCGCGACGGCCCACTCGCCGATCGGCGGCGGGCGCAACCCTCGCGCGCTCGTACTGCGGCCAGTTTGTGCGGCGGCGCTCGGCCCTGGGGTCGCGTTTTGAGCCGGGCGGTTAGACAAGAGTGAGCGCTGCGGTGCGGTGAGGACGATTTTTGTTTTTCGGCTTCGCTGACGTGACAGACGATTTGGGATTGTTGAACCAATCGTGGAGCTGGGATGAAACGACGGGCGCACCTCGGGCTGTGGACGTGCCGGGTTGCGTGTGTCTTTGCTCGAAGGCCCACTGAAAGCTGGCGTTTAAGCTGTCTTAAGCAGACCCCGGGGCGCGGTGCGAACTCAGCGGCCGAAGCTCCGTCCAGCCGTCCAGTCGACGCCGGAGGTGATTCGTTGGCTGGTCTGGACCACTATAACTTCATTCCGCGCACGTCATGGGTTTTGAACGATTTAGCGTATCGTCAGCGGTGGTCGCGCGCAGAATATTTCATGTGATGGGCGAGATGAACGCCTGGAGGGGTGGTGCTGCGGCCATTCTGGGTAGCGGAATGTTGTTCTCTACCTGCTGTCATTCCGGGTAGGCCCGCCAGCCTCCGGGGAAGCGTCGTCAGACGGTGCTGGGTCCCGAGGAAGATGTGCTGTCACTGTCTGTACTTCGTTAATGGTCCGTCCGCATTCCGTTAATTGTCCTTCTGACCGCGGCCGGCGGGTGTCTGATGACTGCGGTCCGTGACGGACCGGCCGTCTGACCGTAGCTTACCTGCTGTTTCAGATCGTGCGCCATGGCTTCCCGCACCAGCCGACGGCGCTGGCGTTCGACCCGGTGCAGAAGCTGCTGGCCATCGGCACCAAGACGGGCTCGCTGCGACTGTATCCTTTCCGTGCGGCCTCGGCCGAAGCTGGCTGGCCCTGCGCCCCGTCACCGACCGGCGCGCCGCCGGCTCGCCGAGTCACAGGCACGGCGGCCGTGGGCTTGCGTTGGGTCATCTTTCCCGGGGAGGGGGAGGGATCTGAGTGGCGTAAAGCGGACATGCGGGGGAGGATTCATCAGTTGCCTAGCGTATTTTGGATCCAAGCACCACTCGCTAAATAAATGAAGAAAATACGAAACTGGCGCACGAAACTTTGTCAGTTGATCAGTTTCTTCCAGCGCACAATTAATCAGCTCTGGATTATTGGCCGATTCGTAACCGGCAACGATAGTTACATATCGGGAGTGCCAGATGGGCTCATTATTTCTAAATTGGCCTCCACTGACGGTGTGGTGTCTCTCTCCGAACGATATATTTTAAACTTGCTCAAAGGCGTAATGATGAGCAGCGACCAATCTATTGCTTGTCAGCTGCATAATTCATGACGTGGAACATGTTATGCGGCATCATATCCTTTGATGGCGGACGGTGTTCTGCACACGGATGCCGCTGACGCGGAATTGGCACTTGGCACCCGGTGAGCCCTGCCACTTTTATCCTTCATGTTTCTTTTACACTGTTGTTTTTGGAAAAGGCAATCCGTGTGACTTTTGGACAGTTACTAGCTTGTACGTACATTCCCTTAAACTCATAACATGTTCTCATGGCTGGGCACGGCAGCGAAATTCTTGGCGCCATCTTTGAGGAAAGTTTCATCTAACAAATTTTCCCATCTTGGCTGTTTTGCATAACAATTGCCAGGCTAGGGTTCGCAACCAAACCGATGCAATGGAAATTATATATCGTGGACATGCAGCTCAAATTTGAAATACGGCACGAACACATGCGTAACAAAGTATGTAACTATATACGTATTTTGAATGCATCGGCAGGTCTGGTTTCCAGTGAACAGTGCTGACCACGGGTGGTCGGTCGGTTCTGGGTTCAGTGCCTTCGCTGTGTGAAGGCGCTATTCCGGCATCCCCTTCGCTTGCAGCGGCGATGCTGTCCTTCATGATGACCGGGTGGAATACCGGAGCAACGCGTCACAAATTGTGGCGGGAGCCGGGCGCGAGCAGCCCGGGCGGCCCGAGCTGCATGCTGAATGCCTCGGAGCCCTCCGGATATTAGCGACGTCTGAGGGAGAGGCGCACTCCGCTGCCGGGCCTGAGACTGACAAATCAAGGGCAGTGGCGTTAATGCAGGCGTGAACAGGCTGTGCTCACATTCTTGGCCAGGCGAGCGTCGCATACAAAGCTCGCCGCCGAGGATTGTAGAGAGAGCCGAGCCCAGCCCGTTTGGGTGGAAAGGCGCGGTGGGAGGTGACATTTCCGTACGCCCTGATGTCTTTTTCTGTCGACAGACTTTTGTTTTTTGTAATGAGAATGAAAGCAGATAGGACGATTACAGCTCTACGATTTACAGACCGATAGTGTGGAGACTATAATTATTTGTACTCATGTAATTGCAGTGAGATGTGCGCCAAAGGTGCATTAAGTGTATGGTGCGGATGCAGCTTCGGATTTGCAGGCGGTCAGTTGTTTCGTGTTTCTGTTTTGGGGGAACCCTATGCCCATTTACAATGGGCTACCCCGCCAGTACCGCGCCCTGTGTTAAAAGGCGCGGCATACCACACCCTCGCCGCGTCACGAAAGCGGGAATAGTGAACCCGAGAACAGGGCAGCCTTCTCTGGACTGGACCCCCATTGGAAGGTCCTTGCCTGTCAGATCCACCCCCTTGCGCCACGTCCCAGCCAGTTTGTGTCGTCGGCTCGGACAGCATCACCAGAGCCGACGTGCTCAGGCGCACGCGGTGTCGCTAGGTGGCAGGAGGGCGTGGCCGCCTGCGCCGTGTGTGTGTGCGGCCGGGGGTGCCGGCCCGCGGAGCGGCGGCGGGGCCGCGTCCCCTGTCAGTCAGGTGCAGCGACAGGCAGATCGGGTCCGAGGCCCGCGCTGCTGGTCAGCTCCTGCACTGGTCAGATCTGGAGAGATCTGGTGGTGAGGGCTGATCTCGGCTTCCGAGTGGGCAAATGTGGCCATTAGTGAGCGTGACACTGGAAGGGATATCTCCACAGTGTCGCTGCCGAGGAGCTTGCCGAGAAAGCCGTTTTCTTTCGAGGCTACAAACGGGCTAAATTCGGCAGCGTTTGTCACACTTCTGCAAGCTCGTAGCGATACGTTCATGATAAAACCTGCATCAGCTGTCGTCGCGTAAGGATGAAATGGACACGGCGCTGTATGGAGTGCTCGTTCATACATATGGGGGCTAAACCTGAAAGGTAGGTGTCACGCATGGCACCGTTCATCGTTGCCACCTTCTTTATCTCCCACAGAAACTCTGCGGTAATTTCTCTTAGCTAATGAATTCCAATTTTGGAAAACGGCAGTCCTTGAGTGTCACGAGGCGCTGTTGGGTGCCACGCACCGTTCGAGGTCGAGCACCTTCTTTTGTCGCCGCGAGCTACGGTATGTTGGCGCGTACGAGGTACGGCACTTGGCGTCACCGGGTGCCGTGCGCGTCCCGGCTCTGGCGCCATGGCACGCCGCCGTGTGTCGCTGGGCACCGTCTGGTGGCGGCGACGGTGTATGGCGTCATGTTGCGACGGCCGCCTGCCGGCCGCTCCGACTCATTACGGGGAGCGGGTCGTGCCGGTCACGCCCGGTGGTCGGTGAGCGGCGCTGATGGAGCCGCGCATCACGCCTGTCTTAGCCGCCGCCTGGACAGTGCGGTGCGGTGCGGTGCGGTGCGGTGCGGTGCGGTGCGGTGCGGTGCGGTGCGGTGCGGTGCGGTGCGGCGCGGCGCGGCGCGGCGCGGCGCGGGGCGGCGCGGCGCGGCCACAGGCTGTCTTCGGGCGCCTCTCCAGCAACGACGCGGCCGCCAGGTGCTGAACCAACTCTCGCAGGCTCACACCGTGCCGTCGGACGGACCTGCACCATTCGACTGGCCTGCGGATGGTCAGGGTATCTCTAGGATCGCGCGTATAAGTCTGCACTGGGTCGTCTAGGAAAACCAAGTCTGCGAGAAAGGCGCATCTGAAAACCTGACTAGGTCCAAAAGCACTTAGACATGATCTTGGACATAACCCCGCGCACAGTTCAGGAGCACATGAGCCGTATTGCCTGGATCCAGTGGATCCCATGGGATCCCCACTTCATTTCAGAAACACGGCTGATGGGTAGTAAGATGTTACATCTAGCTCTTGGATCGGAAAGCCCGTCCACCATGCGCGGTCAGTTATCACCTGCCACCCGGGTCCCGACTCGGTGGTCCACTGCACGTCACAGCGTGACGATTGGCGGCGCAATGTGTCACTTTGCGTCACAGATCAGTGGTTTGCTGTTGGGATGCGTGAAACTGGAAGGCAGAGCTTGTTGGCGAAGTGCATAAGCATGTTGCAAATTTGTGGAAGTGGTTGCAGTAGTTGGTGGTGCTGCGAGATGAAAATTCATTTCTTATGGGGGAAACTGTCACTGTGACATACTAGAGGGGGAATCCGGGCGTTCCGGTCATACCTTCCCGGCCTTAAATGCTCCAGCACCAGCGTGTTTTCCCAGCTAGCGTCGCAGGGCTTTAAACGTGGTAGATTTATTGTCGGTCGTCTTAGATGTCGCCCCGTCTAATTTATTACCAGGTCGGCAAAGTGACACGCAAAATATATTCATAGTATAGCCCGATCGAACTGGGACCGCTACAAGCTTGAATGGGGTTTGCACAATTCCAGCTTAAAACCTTGGAGGCATGCCAGGATCCGGAGACTGGCCGTCGTGCCTTCGTGCTGCCAGGGACCAGGTCTTCATTGGCGAGGTATTTCCCTGAGGCAGCTACATAAAACGCGGCAGAAAGCTTCGTCACACACCAGCAACTGTACTCCGATGAGTGCGAGCTGTCGTGGCGCAGCTACCGCTGACGTCATAGCTGGCAACTTGGGGATGACGTTTGGCACTGAGAAATGCTCTTCTCTCGGACGCATTCTAATAATCCCACTCTTCTGATAAACCCACGAGGCGCCAGTTAGCGTCCGCATGTCCGACTGCGACCCGAATCCTGCGCGCCACGGCGTCCGTCAGTCGGCTAACGGCCCAGCCCTGCACCGGAGGTCGCAGGCCGCCGTCACAGGTTGCCTGGGCAGGCTGCAGCTAGTGCCTGGGCACCACGGCGGCCCCTGGGGGCGCGCCGAGCACACGTGGCGCTGCCGGCTGACTCGGTTTTGCACTCGGCCGCCGCCGCCGCCGCGTCTCCGGGTGGGCGGACCGGGCAGCGCCACCGCTCCGGTCGCCCAGTCTGCCCCGCTCTGCCATGGCCAGTCTCCGCTCAGGACCGCCGAATGTGTCTCCCGCGCGGGAAGTAGCCCGTGTTGGGGCCGACGGAGTGCGGTGCCCGTTATCAGCGGCGGACGTACCTCGCTGCGGCTGGCGCAGACCCTATCTGGCTGGGGTCATTATCTGGCGCCGTCCAGGCAACCGCCACCCTTATCGGACTGCCCGAACCCCGCGAAGCACCGCTGAGCGGTGCCATCTACCAGCGAGATTTCTCAAAAAAGTTCACTAGTAGGGCTAAGGAAGTTGCAGCGGATAAGCGGGTTAAATATGTGTAACACCGCGGCGCTTTCTCCCATTTGCCTCACCTCAACATAGGTCAACACATGTGACAGTGTACCTACCTTGTGTACCGCGTGACCTTGTGTGCAACGTCAGATATTTGGCACCGTATATTTTGTCCTAGAATATCTCAGTCAGTATAAGACCACTGACTTAAGTTGGAGGGAAGGGTCAGCGCAGACAGCGATCGACTCACAGTACTTGAAACCGTCTGCGAGAAAACTATCATGTTTCTCATCGGCTGCAGCTTATCACGGCAGTTTGGTCCAGCCGGCAGTCTGCTGACAGGCCCACGTCATGTGAAGCCCGACATTGGGGTGTTGCACCGAAGTTTGGCTGGGTTCCTTTCGCAAGGCGACCCGTCGCCGGCGAGTGGTGAGACGTGTTAGTATTGGACGCCGCGGGCGGCCGCCGGCCCGGGCGCCATAACTGGGTCATCGCTCTGGCTGGCCGGACGGCGCCGGTCGATGGCGCCGCTCCGTGACGGCATTATGACCCTGTCGGCGCCCGTCGGGGGAGACACGCGGCCGTCGGTCAGCTGGCCGGCTGGAGCCCACGCACCACCGGCCGCAGCCCGCGCACCGCCGGCCGGACCCCACGCACCGCCGCCCGCAGCCCGCGCACCGCCGGCCGGACCCCACGCACCGCCGCCCGGAGCCCGCGCGCCACTGGCCGGAGCCCGCGCACCGCCGCCCGGAGCCCGCGCACCGCCGCCCGGAGCCCGCGCGCCACTGGCCGGAGCCCACGCACCGCCGCCCGGAGCCCGCGCGCCACCGGCTGGAGCCCGCGCACCGCCGGCGGAGCCCGCGCCACCGCCGGCCGGAGCCCGCGCGCCCCGCGCACCGCCGGCTGGAGCCCGCGCACCACCGGCCGGAGACCGCGCACCGCCGCCCGGAGCCCACGCACCGCCGCCCGGAGCCCGCGCGCCGCCGGCTGGAGCCCGCGCACCGCCGGCCGGAGCCCGCGCACCGCCGGCCGGAGCTCCGCGCACCGCCGCCCGGAGCCCGCGCACCGCCCGCCGGAGACCACACACCGCCGCCCGGAGCCCGCGCGCCACTGGCCGGAGCCCGCGCACCGCCGCCCGGAGCCCGCGCGCCACTGGCCGCAGCCCGCGTGCCGCCGGCCGGATACGACACAGGTCGGACCAAACCCTTGGCGAGAGGAGGGAGGGGGGGGGGATGGATAGTAATTTTAAAGTTAACTCTTTCCATGCGTCACCCTTGAGAAGATTTTACATCCTCCATCGCGAGTGTGAAGGGCGTTGACGCCCGCCGGGGTTAGGCGGCTGCCCCCGGACATATGTACCGGGCTGAACACTTTGTATGATGCCATGACGCGAGTGGGGCTGCAGGCCAAGCGAGCCTTACTTGAGCTGTCATGCGCTCATCAGCTAGAGCTGTATGATGTTCTGATACGAGTGGGGCTGCGGGCCGAGCGGACCTTACTTGAGGTGTTATACACTCATCAGCTGGAGCTGTATGATGCTATGATACGAGTGGGGCTGCGGGCCAAGCAGTCTTTACTTGAGCTGCCATACACTCATCAGCTGGAGCTGTATGATGCTATGACGCGAGTGGGGCTGCGGGCCAAGCGGACTTTACTTGAGCTGTCATACACTCATCAGCTGGAGCTGTATGATGTTATGATGCGAGTGGGGCTGTGGGCCAAGCGGACTTTACTTGAGCTGCCATACACTCATCAGCTGGAGTTGCCGGGCCCGGCCTGGCTTTCAAGAAGATAATATCTTAACAATCACTGGTCTCAATTTCATTAAGTTTTTAGCAGTGAGAAGCAGAGTTGTTTAAGAAAGCCCTGAATATCTGAATATCTTGCGAGGTGTTTGCATTCAGTGTGGCACCTCCTCATTGGATTAATGTGAAAAACGTGAACTTTTCTAGTTGCTGGAAGTTGGAGGGCGGTAGGTCAAAACGAGTTACAGGTCTAGACGACCCAGGGCCGCAGTGATCGAGGCTGGCAGGCACTGATGGAGGAGAACGCGGCAAATCATGTCGGCAAACATGGAGGCCGAGGGGTTCAGGCGGTCACGTTCCCTCGTTCGTGGACGACGTGGGCCGCACGGTTTTGGGGTTGGCTGAGGATTGACACCAGACGTCAGCAACCAGAGCAGATGAAGATGTGAAGCCAACTGTGCGGTGAAGGTGAATGTACCGGCCACAACTCACTAACGGATATCAGACCTTGGATCTCAGCACATTCCGGCGGGTGGTCGGACGGCGTAATCGGCCGCGACCAGGTCGATAACACCCTTTCGGAAACCAGTTTCGAGCACGGGACGTGGTTAACTGAGAGCTTTGACTACGCGAACCATACGGACACTTTTTGGCTCTTTGTGACTAATATCAACCAAAAAGGTTTAATTTTTCGGAATCCTATGGTCACTATGGTCAAAACCGCCAACCATTGCAAATTCAATGATTTCCTCAAGTGAAATGGCCTAGCCTGGGGAGCCAGGCAGTCACCAACCTCCAGGCAATGTTGGCTATGAATTAGCGCACGAATGCTACATCATCGGGCCTCTGCCTGTTGAACTTTCACCAGAGGCGGACTAACCGGCGCATTAATCAGCCCCATTGGTGTAGGCTGTCAAGATTGTGTGCCTCCATTAGCCGAGTTTTTAACATGATCTTCATGATGACAGCCGATGACTGCCACCATCGTTCGTTCCACGCTGCGCATGCGTCTTGCTGGTAAGCTCACTTCTCTTGGCGCCGTGGGAATGCGGCGGAATGCTGCGTCACGACTGACTCGAATACCCGGCCGTTGTAGTGAGCGCCAGTGGACTAATTGCCGGTCTTTCGCATCGGGGGAAGTCTGTAGCGCACGCTGCACCCCGCTCTCGGCGCGTTTAGGCAAAAAAGACGGTCGTGTTTCGGCCGTATCATGTCTCCATTTCCACACCATGCAACATCCTGTGTCACGCTGTTCTCCACGCGTCAGTCATCTCTCCATCACTTCACTTCCCACATATACCCGCTCTGCATTCCTGCGTCATTTTTCACGTACAACGAACCTGCTCGCTCGTTTTCGAGTCGTGTCGCAGCTGTCTGGGCATGGGTTTCCAGTCGACGCGCGCTGTTGCCCGGCGCCGAATCCCTCAGCTGATGCGCATGACGCCCCACCCTGTGCTCGGGCGTGTGGCGAGCGCCCCAGCCTGGGGGGGGGGGGGGGGGGGCGCTGTCGCCGCCGGCTGACCCGTTCTGCCAGGGGGCCGCGACATGTCGAGCCGGGCGGCTGCCCCTCCCCTGCTCCCGCCCGTTCGCCCGCCGCTCGCACCGCCCCGTCACGCTGCGTCAGCAGCGACCTGATGACAAAACTTCGCCAATAAATAGCGCTAATCAACGTAAGTTCGAACCAGTTTGATGCCGGCGTATCGGGCCCGGCGGGAGGCGCAAGAGCGGATGGAGGGACGGGCGGGGATGGTGGCGTGCCCTGAACGCGCCGCGGACGGCGAGCGTGTGCTGCGTCAACTCTGGCGCTGCCAATTGCGGCCGGCTCAACGGGCGGTTCGCATGGTCGGCACGTGGGAGCGCGTGCGCCGCCGCTGATCGCCGCGTATTGTGTGTGACAGCGACCGCATCAGCGTGGACTGAGGTGACCGCAGTGTCGACTTTCGGTCACTGTCAGTCGCTGATTTGGGCAGCTTCGTCAGACAGACTGTTCTAAGCGTTCGCCGCCCGTACCGGAGCTGGGCCGCCCCGGTGTGGTGCGTCTCCTGCAGTGCGCTGCTCGACGCTGCCGATGGTACGCGGTCGCCGCCCTCCTGTGTGCGCCTACCAACCACGCGTGCCTGCTGCTGTGTGAAGTAACACGACCACTGCCTCAGGCACTTTAGGGGAAAGCTTTATCGCTTCTAGCATTTAAGTGTAAATGATGTTTTGACGTATCACTTCCTGGACCCACTTTGGTGCAAAGTACTGTATTTGTTTTGCAAGGGTTGATAGATTGATGAGGTTATCTGTCTTTCCTGTGACGTGAGTAGGAAAATCAGCACCAAAGTTTTCGGTTGTGGACATAATGAATAGTGTGTAGCCGCTGACAACGTACGCTTCAGTCCCAAATTGACAAACACGCGGTGGTGCCCGAAACCCAGTGCTGGCTATGTGTGGCGGCCGAGTGTCCAGTATCGTTTGTGTTCGTTTCCTGAACTCAGCTGACAGTCTTGGCCGGCCGGGGGTCGACATCCACGTGCGCCACGACGGCGACCCAGCGGTGCTGCAGGTCAGTGGTGGTGCCGGCGTCCGGCCGGTCCATACCCGCGCCCGCCAGCCGGTCCATACCCGCACCCACCAGCCGGTCCATACTCGCACCCACCAGCCGGTCCATACCCGCGCCCGCCAGTCGGTCCATACCCGCGCCCACCAGCCGGTCCATACCCGCACCCACCAGCCGGTCCATACCCGCACCCACCAGCCGCTCCACGCCCGCACCCACCAACCGGTCCATACCCGTACCCACCAGCCGATCCATACCCGTACTCACCAGCCGGTCCATACGCGCACCCACCAGCTGTCCATACTCGCACCCACCAGCCGGTCCATACCCGCACCCACCAGCCGATCCATGCCCGCACCCACCAACCGGTCCATACCCGTACCCACCAGCCGGTCCATACCCGCACCCACCAGCCGGTCCATACTCGCACCCACCAGCCGGTCCATACCCGCACCCACCAGCCGATCCATGCCCGCACCCACCAGCCGGTCCATACCCGTACTCACCAGCCGGTCCATACCCGCACCCACCAGCTGTCCATACTCACACCCACCAGCCGGTCCATACCCGCACCCACCAGCCGATCCATGCCCGCACCCACCAACCGGTCCATAACCGTACCCACCAGCCGGTCCATACTCTCACCCACCAGCCGGTCCATACCCGCACCCACCAGCCGATCCATGCCCGCACCCACCAGCCGGTCCATACCCGTACCCACCAGCCGGTCCATGCCCGCACTCGCCAGCTGGTCCATACCCGCACCCACCAGCCGGTCCATACTTGCACCCAACAGCCGATCCATACCCGTACCCACCAGCCGGTCCATACCCGCACCCAACAGCCGATCCATACCAGCACCCACCAGCCGGTCCATACCCGCGCCCATCAGCCGGTCCATGCCCGCGCCCATCAGCCGGTCCATGCCCGCACCCACCAGCCGATCCATACCTGCTCCCTCCGGCCGGTTGGCACACCCCACATGTGTACATACGTGTGACACGAGCAAGACGCGTGGGATGACGCCTGTCTGCGTGTGCGATACGTGGGAAATTGCACATGGTGACGGGGGTGGTGGCGGAGGGGTATTGGTTCTCTGACATGGTAGACTGTTTTCGCGTTTTTAGTCGCATTGCGTGACGTTGACCTCTGTTAATCAGCGGAGTGCATACTTGATGACGGGATGACATGACGCCGTCGCCTGTCCTCAAGATGACGTGATGATATGATGTGGACGGCCGTCCTGAAGATGACGTGATGACATGCCGTGGCCGCCTGTCCTAAAGATGACGGGAGGAGATGACGCCGCCGCTTCTCCGAAACATGACGTGATGATATGCTGCTGCCTCGTCTTAAGACTTGTACTCATTCCGAGGAATCGCAACGCCTGTGGTGAGCCCGTAGCCCACCGATAATCGATTGGACCACCAATATGACTGCAGATTTCGCTGTAAATGATGCTGAAATTGAAATTGGACTTTCGCCGTTGGCTGTACCGGAAATTCAGTGGCATAGCTCGGCTATGGCTGCTGGGCTGCCGCGGGCTATCAGGATGCTGGTGATGACATCCATAACTTGGCACGGGACCGCTCTGGTCGATGCGTTGCTCATCGATGGGCATATTCCGTGCGCATATTAACAGATTGCAATTAGCGGCACGCGGACGTTTACTGAATAAATGAGGCGCGGTAAATGTGCGACCCTGATAGCGGTGTTAGTAACTGAGTCCGGGCGCCACTAGCTGCAGCGACGTCACTGGTGGTCAGCGCGGCCTCCTCCGCTGGTCTGTTCCGACGTGGGGCTCTGAAGGGAGTCCCTCATGGCCCGTCTACCGTCAGCGCGGCCTCCCCCGCTGGTCCCTTCCGGCGTGGGGCTCTGAAGGGAGTCCCTCATGGCCCGTCTACCGTCAGCGCGGCCCCCTCCGCTGGTCTGTTCCGGCGTGGGGCTCTGAAGGGAGTCCCTCATGGCCCGTCTACCGTCAGCGCGGCCTCCTCCGCTGGTCCCTTCCGACGTGGGGCTCTGAAGGGAGTCCCTCATGGCCCGTCTACCGTCAGCGCGGCCTCCTCCGCTGGTCCCTTCCCTCGTGGGGCTCTGAAGGGAGTCCCTCATGGCCCGTCTACCGTCAGCGCGGCCCCCTCCGCTGGTCTGTTCCGACGTGGGGCTCTGAAGGGAGTCCCTCATGGCCCGTCTACCGTCAGCGCGGCCTCCCCCGCTGGTCCCTTCCGGCGTGGGGCTCTGAAGGGAGTCCCTCATGGCCCGTCTACCGTCAGCGCGGCCTCCTCCGCTGGTCCCTTCCCTCGTGGGGCTCTGAAGGGAGTCCCTCATGGCCCGTCTACCGTCAGCGCGGCCTCCTCCGCTGGTCCCTTCCGGCGTGGGGCTCTGAAGGGAGTCCCTCATGGCCCGTCTACCGTCAGCGCGGCCTCCTCCGCTGGTCCCTTCCGGCGTGGGGCTCTGAAGGGAGTCCCTCATGGCCCGTCTACCGTCAGCGCGGCCTCCTCCGCTGGTCCCTTCCGGCGTGGGGCTCTGAAGGGAGTCCCTCATGGCTCGACTACCCATGATACGGCTCGCACCAAGCGATTGCGCCACCAGCCTCGCGTGCCTGAGGGTCTGCCCTGCACATAACCGGTGATCCGAGTTTGCCGACCAGCAGACCGTCCGCCGTACGTCTTGGAAGAGTGAGTCTCTAGCAGTTGTGAAATCATGGCGTGACCACTCAACAGCCGCACAACATAGCACGCCATTGGGAATGTCATCCATTAAGAAACGATCGTACACGCTCATCTAAAAATTAAGCATCGTATTTTCCACCCGCATGGCGCTGTTCATCACGAGCAAAATGGTTGCATGACGGATGGATGTGGACACATCGTCGTTATATGCTATGAAAGCCCAGCCAACCTCTAATCGGCAGCGATCGGGTACTTATGACTCGTCATTTCCCCAAGTTGAGTCGGGCTTTAACGGACGCGGTGACGAATTACGTGCTGGTACGTGGTGACCCCGCACCAGCGGCGGCCGATTTCTCCCGTCCGTGGAGCGGTTGCCGGGGGTGACCTGACCCCACCCCTCGCGGTGGGCGCCGCCGCCTGATTGAAGCGGGCCTTGTCAGCGGCTGGTCATTTGGTGTGTGTGGCGGGGGGGGGGGGGGGGCGGTCCGGCAGCCTGGGGATCAGCCGCGACGCACGGCGGCGGCGGCCGCCGTTCTGGCCGGCCGGATCGCCAGCGGCTCGGCCGGCCGCCGCCCCGCTGGCGAGCAGGCGCCCAGCAGCGAGGCTGGTGCAGTGCCGGACCGCGCTCCGATGGGCTGCAGACGTCCGCTGTCGGGCCGCTGTGCTGTGTCTCCGCATGTGTCCGCTGTCGGGTTGTCATCGTCGCGTATGACCGATGAGTTCGCCAGCGTCGCCAGCGCTGGCGGAAGCCGGGGCCGTTGAGATTGGCGTGACTACGGGGCCCTTGAGAGTGGCGTGACTACGGGGCCCTTGAGAGTGGCCTGACTACGGGCCGTTGAGAGTGGCGTGACTACGGGGCCGTTGAGAGTGGCGTGACTACGGGGCCGTTGAGAGTGGCGTGACTACGGGGCCGTTGAGAGTGGCGTGACTACGGGGCCGTTGAGAGTGGTGTGACTTTGTGGACGACCGAAATCGGACTTCTCGACTGCATGAAATGCCAGCTATTGTGGTGTAAGTGGCAAAATGTATTGCAGTTTCACTTTGAAAGTTAACTGGCTGCTCAAATTGAACCATAAACTGGGAGCATGGACACGGGGGCTAACGGTCATCGTTAATCTGTTTTCCCGCATCATAAATTGTTTGTTCTTTTCCGTGAGTTGACTTTAACTAATAGCTATCACTGTCACAAAGTGGTTTTCTTGTGTGTTTTGGAACTAAGAAGTTGTATTGCAACAACTGGTGTGTGAATGTTTCAAGATGTTGATGACCGGAACCTCGAGGTATCATCTCCAGTGTCAGGGGCTCCCCGCCCCGCTCATATCTGGGCTCTGCACCTCTCGATCAACGCCATCTTCTGCGCCAGGGACTCCCCATCCGACCCATGTCCAGGCGTCTGCGATTCCCCGCCGCCACAACGCGCTGTGTCACCGATCCCCACCCTGTCACGCACTGTGTCACCGATCCCCACCCTGTCACGCACTGTGTCATCGATCCCCACCCTGTCACGCACTGTGTCACCGATCCCCACCCTGTCACGCACTGTGTCACCGATCCCCGCCCTGTCACGCACTGTGTCACCGATCCCCACTCTGTCCGCACTGGTTCAGAAACTTCCCATCCATGTCAGATACTGGACCAATGACTCACCAGGACTTTTATTGTATCAGTGCCCCCACCCGTGTCGTCTTCGTGTCAGTATCTGTGTTAACCACTGTGCCAGTGCATCTCCACCCCGTTATCTGCGCGTCAGGGACTCCCTAACCCCTCATCTGCTACGTCAGGGACTCCCTAACCCATCATTTGCTACGTCAGGGACTGCCTAACCCCTCATCTGCTACGTCAGGGACTCCCGTCGCCATATGGGCACCATATGACCAACGTAGTCGGTGCGCCCCAAGGCCCAAATCATCATCATCATCCCATCGCCATCATCTGCTGCGTCAGGGATTCCCTACCCACTCATCTGTGCGTCAGGGATTCCCTATCCCCATCTGCATCATCATGTGCTGGGTCAGCGACTCCCCATCGCCATCGTCTGCTGCATCAGCGACTCCCTATCCCCATCATCTGTTGTGTCAGCGACTCCCCATCGCCATCGTCTGCTGCATCAGCGACTCCCTATCCCCATCATCTGCTGTGTCAGCGACTCCCCATCGCCATCGTCTGCTGCATCAGCGACTCCCTATCCCCATCATCTGCTGTGTCAGCGACTCCCCATCGCCATCGTCTGCTGCGTCAGCGACTCCCTTTCCCCATCATCTGCTGTGTCAGCGACTCCCCATCGCCACCGTCTGCTGCATCAGCGACTCCCTATCCCCATCATCTGCTGTGTCAGCGATTCGCCATCGCCATCGTCTGCTGCATCAGCGACTCCCACCCATCTCCGGCCACGTCTGACCTGTGGTCGTCCTCCATCGCGCCAGCCGGTGATGAATCTCAACTACCGCGGCATTACCATAATCCGCCGAGTGTCCATCCGGCGGCCGTCGTCCATTCGTCGGAGCTCCGTGAGATGGCTGGCCGGATATCGAGCGCGTCCCAAATGACCTCCACCCTCGGACAAAAACCTTCCCTTCGCGCATCTGTGGCCGTAATGCCAGCGTCGGCGCCGGCCCCGCACGGCGGCGGCGCCCGTGCTCGCACGGGAACACCAGGCGCGGTCGGAGCCGTGCCTGCAGCTCACTTGGTAACGGCGTCGTACACGGACCAATGTCTGACAGGCATGTGGGTGGCGTTCCGGAAAACGCGCTGATATGACGCCATTTGCTGACCTTCGTCGCTGACCGCCACTGTCATTGACGGTCAGCTGGTAACTGGGCGAAAAAGTTGGCTTAAATTGGGTGGCCTTATTACACCGTTGCGTGGCCTGTTTGAACCTTTCGCCAGATATTGTTAGCTGAACTTGAATGGTTGGACTTGGGTGGTGGGGTCATTGTCTTCGCAAAAAGTTATGGTTCGCAAGCACTTGATTCCAGAACTCTTCCCTCAAAACATCCGGCTGAAGTTCAAAAGAAAACGAGGGTCACGGCAGCCTCGGCAGCTGCCGACAGCTGCGCAGCGCTGAGGTGTTGCACTCCGTGGTGCGTCGCCACAGGCGGCTCCGGATGGGCGGTCGAGGAGCGGCCAGCTCTCCACGTCCCCCCGACGGCCGGCCGGGAACCACCGTCTCCGCCCGGTCACCACGCGACGGCCAGCCACCGCCGCGCGCTGGCCGCGGCTGGGGCACGGCCGTGTGGACCCGGTGTCAACAGCGCTGCCGGCTCGGAGATGACCCGCTGACGTGGCGGTGACGTCAGCGGCGCCGTGGGGTCGTCTGCGGCCGGGCGGGGCCGGCGAGCGGCGATGGGCGCTGCCGCGCCTCCCCCAAGCGTCGGCGCTCCGCTGACCGTCAGTGCCGACGGCGGCACGACCGTCACGCAGTCCGTGATATGTGCACGCAGATATGATATATCACGCAGATATGTGCCGTCCGACGTGCAGCGAGGGGACCACGTGGCTGGACGCCTCTGGCGCGGGGCTGGCATCCACTCTCTGGCCGGACCCGGCAGCCGCGTTTTGACGTGCCCGAGGGCTGGACATGCACGGGAGGCAGGCTGCACGAATCACTAGAACAGAGTGTGGACGGAACGCCGTTGGAGCCGCCGGTGTGGGAATTCGAGAAAGAGCCACTGGAGGTGGCCGATGGCATTCGCCAGCAACGCTAGGCGGCGCACTGGCCGAGCCGGGCTCCTACTTGTTTTGGGAACGCTGCATGGCGGGATTAGGCTCCGGACAACAACATGTGTTCATTTGGAACTCGAGCTCACACCTGTCCATTCATAACACTGGCGTGAAATAAAATGGGCCCAGCTCAAACTCACGCGGTGGCCCACCTTGATTTGACGCGAGCGCTCTCTCAAGATGCTGTTTGTTGTAGTCGAACAATTTTCCTAGGCCATGTTTGGGCTTTTGTTATGTGTAATAGCTTGCTCCTGATCACGTCGTTGCTGTATTCACTGCATATCAAACGCACGACATCTTATGGACATCTACTTCAGAAATGTTCGTGGCCGATTTGCACGGATTACTTCGGTTTCAGGTGCATGCGAATTAGAACTCGTGCATCCTAGATGTATAGTATATTTTCTCTCAGTATATTTTCACTTGAACGGATGCTTATCCTCCGACCAAACGGCAAGACAGACATGACGTTACGGCGGTAGGGAACTCTTTACCGTGCTCTACAATATCGTGACACGGCTTCCCCGTTACAGGCTGGCGCCGGTCTTTTGCCAGCCGACTAATATACCTGTAGCGATGGGGCCAGCGACAGCGCTTTTTGCTGACCCGAGCCAGCGTCGCTGGGCCGTCGTCCTCAACCCAGGACTGCATGCTACGGCACTGGCCTGCCACCTAGGCCTGCCCAACTGTGGCTGGAATATGGTGGTGCCAGTTTTCTCCGAAATTAATATGCTGGGTGTCATGACAGAAAAAGAATTGAGACGACTACGCAATTTTTGTTTGATATGCTGGTGAGGAAATTGAGATAAATGGCTCGCTACACTCGTGCTGCATCAAAACAACGCGGCGACGATCGATGAATGGGGCTCGAGGGGATAACGAATGGGAAATGCACTAAACGTGGTTAAGTGGTATTGATGATGAAATGCGTCTAATAAGATGTAGCCCTAAGTGAATGGAAACGCCCTTCTGCCATCCCGTAGTGTGATGTGCACTGGTCGGTCAGCATTGTGTCGACAAATGGGAGCTTTGCAGTAGCAATGTCTCACGTAAGGCATCATGACTCAGTGATTTTCTCATTCCATGTGGGCTTCAAAATTATGTGGTGACATTTGGTAGTCGGTCGCTCGTATGTTACTAATCCAACCACGTCCGCGTGGATTAATCCTATTCGCGCTCTGACTGCTGCTGCGTTGGGTTTTGTTGCGTCGTCGCGGCATTTCGTTCTTCCCTTCTCGCGACGGCGGCCGAATTTCCCACCCGGTCTTCCAGTGCTTGTGTGAGGTATAACAGTTGGCGGCTTAACTTGATTCCTGCTGCAAACATCGGGCGCCCTTATCTCCATGCGGTGAGCTTTCTTGGGCTTGCGTCTGGGCTCAAAATGAGACCGCGTTGCTTTTCATTTTGGCCTTTTGGCACACTAATGCCACGTGAAATGAGTTTCTTCAACCGAGAAAATCCAGCTACTGTTGATCCGGCGAACGAGTTTCGCCAACCCACGTGCGCGCATCAAAGGATTAATATTGCGCAAGCAGTCAAATTTTGCCAACCAGACTTACGTGCTTGTATAAATCTCGGAACCTATTAAATGGTCTGATTGGATTCGGCGGAAATCTATTGCAAGCACAGTTCCAATTAGGTCGGCGGATGGTCGGTGACCGTGTGGGTCCGTCTTATTGGCGGTAGTGAATGCCGCGGCTCCGTTCTTTATTAGCGCGCGCCAGGTGCGTCAGCACGGGCAGCGCGCAGAGCCGGCCGGGCTGGCCCGCGGAGGCAGGCGATGTCACGGACCGGGGTGCGCGACATGCCCTCGGTGTCGACTCCCCCCTCCCCCCCCCCCGCCGCCACTCTTCTCCCTGGCCTGGGGTGTCTGGGCCTGACCGCGAGTGCGGACGGCCGTGGAGGCGACGGGAGTACCGGCTGCTGTGGCGTAATTCGTTGGTAATGGTTTGGTGGTCAATAATGTAAAGTCGCGTGAGCTCGCACTAGGGCGGGTCGCGGCCACCACGGAAGTGTAGCCTGTGACTGGGCCACTAGACGGCCTGGACGTCGAGACACGGTGCGTTTGGCACGACAGTTTGGTCGCAGAGCCGGCCCTCTGCAGCGCTGCTCGCCCCGCGGACGGCTCCGAATGCCGCCGCCAGCTTGAGGAGCCGTCGCCGCCTCAGCGGGCCTCGGACCCCAATGCGGGAGAACTGTTCAAAAGCCTGAAGTGCTGTCGATCTGTTTGGGCCGTTTATTGGCATGCGACCCTCGTAGCGGCCGACATTAGGCCTGGAAGTTGAAAGGACAGTGTGGCGCACGGTGGGACGCTCCCACGGCACCAACCAATCGAGTCTTTCAGCGACGTGTGTATCGACCGCTTTATTCAATGACCAAGGTAGTCAGTTGACAAGTCAAAGCGGACCGCTCAGTGACCTTTCATTGCTCCATTGTCATTTGTTTGCGTGTGCTTTTCAGATAGCGTTCCTGGTGAACGAAGGGGCGCTGGTGACTGCTTGTACGGATGACACGCTGAACATGTGGAACATCCGGCAAAAGATACCCGAGGTGGTGCACACGCTCAAGTTCCAGCGGGAAAGGTAGGCGTTGCACGTCCGTCTGTCCCGTCGAGAAGACTTCACTGCCTTCAAGCGAGCGCAGGTCGTCTGCACGCGCGTCTTAACATACCCATCCAATGCACAATATGTTAAGAGCCTTTCGCTTGTGGTGAAAAGGTTCAACTACCCGAGTGTTTGTACGGTTGGGAAATGCACCGAGTCACTTCAAAATATTGACATTGCTTACGATGAAATCTCAATGCACTCCTCCTTGCGACGAGGTGGGTTCTAACTCGGATCAGTATCGCCAGGCGCCAAGCGTCCGCCGTCGTCGTCCCCCCCCCCCGTCCTCGGCTGTCAGCGGCGCCTTCTCTCAGCGCTGTGCTGCGCGCCCGTCTCCTCCCATATGCTGATGTTGTCTACACCCGGGAGACGACAGAATCCCAGCTGACTGTATTGAAATATGGCGTTCGGCCGGCGAAACAGCGTTGTTTGCTGCAATATCAGCGGGAACATAAAAGCAAGACGCGGGCTGGCAGTCTGAAAGGAACTCAGGAGAATTGACCAGGGACTTGCGATTTTAACGAAACATAAAACGGTGAGACGGGGCTTCACGTTTACCCTGCAAGCAAATGTCATTTCAGAGGTTGCAGTATCAAAGAGGTTGTTCTTGGTATTCTATTAAGATGTTGCATTTGCTGCGACCTCGTGATTTGCCCATTGAAAGGGTCGTGCTGTCGGTCTTATTTGTTACTGGGAATGCTCCACATTTATATGGGGTTCTGAACTGAAATAACCACCTTGAGGACCGTTCGATGCTGTCCACAATCCTGTCTTTCTTGAGGCCTGAGCCCGTCGAGTTTCGGAGTTACACAACCTTGAAAATGGGTAAAGGTATATCGGGGAGAGTATTTCAGTCACTGACATGACGTCATAATAATGCCATTCAAATCCTGCCATTCCATAAGCCATGCGGTGATCGGGGCCAAGAAAAGTAATTGTCGAGGCGTTCATATCGGCGTTCGCGGACGCGATTTTCAGGTATAACGGCCGTCAGTTGACTCTCAACTAATGCTGTGCAAGGTACGATGACCTAATCGAACCAGGACGCATTCGGGGAGGGATATTTACTAAACAGAGAATTGCGCTGTCTAGAGCATTCTTCCATTGAAAAATTACACCAATTGGGATAAGTGAGCTTGTTTCATCAGACCTGATGCTTGCTTCAGTAACTTCCAATGTGAAGCATTCCCCGCAAGCAGTCTGTATTGTTTTCCGTCTCTTGATAATACGCACTTGGCGCTATTAACGTTATCCATGCCCGTTCGCTTTTCAGGCTTGTCGTCCCCATGCTGCCGGATAGCGCATTCCCACATATTTCTCAGGTCCGGCTCACATCAGCACATGTTAGCTGACGCAGTGCCGTCCCGTGCCTCGTAAACGATAATTGAGGCACTGTGAGCAATGCTATATATTTCCATGCTTTTGAATGATTTGACTGTTGATTGTTGTTTGGGAGAAAGAGAGAGAGAGAGAGAGAGAGAGAGAGAGAGAGAGAGAGAGAGAGAGAGAGAGAGAGAGAGAGAGAGCAAGAGAGACGAGAGAGAGAGGGAGGAGGAGAGAGGGAGGAGAGAGGAGAGGGAGAGGAGAGGGAGAGGGAGAGGGAGAGGGGAGGGAGAGGAGAGGAGAGGGAGAGAGGGAGGAGGGGAGAGGAGAGGGAGAGGGAGAGGAGAGGGGAGGGAGGGAGGAGAGGGAGAGGGGAGGGAAGAGGGGAGGGAGGGAGAGGGAGAGGGAGAGGGAGAGGAGAGGGAGAGGGAGAGGGAGGGGAGGAGGGAGAGGGAGAGGAGAGAGGGAGAGGAGAGGGAGAGGGAGAGGGAGAGGGAGAGGGAGAGGGAGAGGGAGAGGGGAGAGAGGAGGGGAGAGGGAGAGAGGAGAGGGAGAGGGAGAGGGAGAGGGAGAGGGAGAGGGAGAGGGAGAGGGAGAGGGAGAGGGAGGGGAGAGGAGGAGAGGGAGAGGGAGAGGAGAGGGAGAGGAGAGGAGAGGAGAGAGGGAGAGAGAGAGAGAGGAGAGAGAGAGAGAGAGAGAGAGAGAGAGAGAGGAGAGAGATTATATATATATATTATATATAATA